GAAATAAAGTGACTAGTTGAGTCTCTGTTAAATGCAGCTTAGCTAAATACTAATGAACCAAAAGCAGTCTAAACTGAAGACAAAAAGGGAGAGACATATGGTAGAGAGCTTGCCTAGAAATGTGAAGCCCTGATTTCAAACTCTAGTACTACCAGAACCCAGCCAACCAACCAACAAAAAATCTATTAAGACTGTTGCTTGTGGTATTAATAGAGGTAGAAAGGAAAAAACTAAAAATATTTGGAAGAGAGGTGTCTGGCTCATGCCTGTAATCCTAGATACTCAGGAGGCTGCGATTTGAGGATCGCAGTTCAAAGCCAACCTGGGCAGGAAAGTCCGTGAGACTCTTATCTCCAATAAACCACCAGAAAACTGGAAGTGGTGCTGTGGCTCAAGTGGTAGAGCACTTGCCTTGAGCTGAAGAGCTCAAGGACAACACTCGGGCACAGAGTTCAAACCCTACAACTGACAACTATCTATCTATCTATCTTATCTATCGGACTTAGAACTTAGAAATTGTCGAACTTAGAAATTGAATGAATAGCATGACAGTGAAATGCTCTAAGATGGGGGCCTTCAGGTGAAGAATTATCTGGGTAAGGCTCAAAGGTTCTATGTATTGAGTTCTTGGATGAAACACGTCTCTAGCCAGGCACAGTGGCATGCCTATAGACCTAGCACTTGGGAGTCAAGAGTGGGAGGTTGATTTGAGACTAGGAATTTGAGAACAACTTTGGGAAACATGGTAAGATCTAATTGAAAATAAATCTCCATAAATTATTTGCAGTTAATTCAAATTACCAGTTCATTTGTCTCTGCTGATAAAAGGGCTTTCCTTGCTTAAATTGAACTATTGAGCCCATCTAATGTACCAGGTATTATGTTTGAACTCTGCCTTTGTAATTACAAACTGTGAAATAAACCTAGATTGTAAGAGCTGAGGTACTAGAATTTGGCAACCATAGGGGTATAATCTTCTCAATGGTAGTTTCTTTGGATAGCATTTAGTTATATCCAAAGGCGGGCACAAATGTCTTTTATTTAAGGGTTCAAAACAAGACTTAAAAAAAAAACACAGGGAAATTAAGCTTATAGCTTATTCCAAGAAAATGAGTCCAAGCTGTCTAGGAAAGTGCTAATGGCAAGGATAACTGGAATGTTACAGTGAAGTGATATCAAAGAATGACAGTCCAATAAGACTATCAGTCCAATAAGCAAAGCAGAAGATGCAAGTAATAGTGGCTTTGGGCTTCCCCCCCTTGCTCCTCCCCCTCCCGCCCCCCCCCATTTGTCATTGTTGTTGTTGAGTGGGTATGAGAGAATAAAAAATCCTTAGATTGAGGCTGGGAAGATAGCTCAGTGGTAGAGTGCTTGCCTTGCATGCATGAGGCCCTGGGTTCAATTCCTCAGGATCATATAAGCAGAAAATAGATGGAAGAGGTGCTGTGGTGTGGCTCAAGTGGTAGAGCACTAGCCTTAAGCTGAAGAGCTAAGGGACAACGCCCAGGCCCAGAGTTCAGGCCGATAGACAAAAAAAAAAAAAAAAAAATCCTTACATTGGGTCAAGGGAACTTAAAAGAGACCTAAATTCTGAATGATTGTCTAAATACTTAAGTTTACAAACAGACTAAGAACTAGCTATTTGTAAAAAAGTAACAGGGCAGTAGTAATTAGTGGTAGTAAAACAAATAATGAGAGTCACAGGGATCAACAGCTTCCAAAGAATATGATGTCAAAGAGCAGAAGTGAAATCCTGAAGCCAATGAGAGGAGCACCCCCACAAAAAAGTGTTTATGCTAATGTGAGCAAGCTAGTTTGTTTATTTATTTCTGGTCCAAGGATGTGACTGAGTGGTACAATGCTTGTCTAACATGTACAAAGCCCTTGGTTCAGTCTCTAGCACTGAAAGGAAGGTAAGGAGGGAGGGAGGCTATTTCTGTATTGTGCTTGAAGCATTACACCATTGGTCACTACAGCAATGGCTGTCACTTTATAGAAAGATGTGATATAGAAAATAGATGATAAAACTAGGCTTTGTTCTTGAGTGGTAAACAGAAGACAAAGAACCAGGGCACAAGAAACCGAGAAAATGGTTTGCACCTAGATCAAACTGCACATGTGAACTCTGGTAGGCTGGGCATACCAGCACTTGGTAGAGGTAGAGGCAGAGCAATCTTGATTTTGAGGCTGGCCTAGGCTATCCAGTGAGACTCTACATCAAACAAATCAAATCAAAATGAAAAGCTCTGTAGACCAGAACCTTTAGGAACTATGCTCCTAGTTTTTCTCTAATAGGTACGAATTATGTGAAATTGTAACCAAAGAAACATAATTCAAAATGGAACTTTACTGAAAAAACACATACAATGGTTGGACCAATTTTCCCAGCACTAGCACATCTGGTTTCTAATGTCCTATTTCTGAGAGTTAAGATGTTCACAAACTTTTTGCTTGCATTTATACTTCTCAAGGAGAGAAGTGTAAAGACATGAAAGCTACTATACAAAGAACTTTCTCATTAACAATTTTCTGTTCCTATTCTATTGCCTTTCTATTCAAGAAATAGCAGAACACATGAGCCCTTTTATCAATAGATAACTGTACAAATAGGCTTTGAGTAAAGTCTGGTTTCTTCATCTGTTTAGTAGACAACCCTCTTATAGTTTTTGCTGTAAAAATTGGAACATGACATCTGTTAAATTTAGAATCTATACAAACTTAATGCTCAGTAGATAATGATTTTGAGAAACAGCCTGATGTAGGACAAAGAATATGGACCTTAACGTCAGATCTGCACTGCTTTGTGGGTGGCTGAAAGTTATTATTATTGGAGCCAATGTCTACATTTAATTCTTCTGTAAAAAATGAAACATTATCACCTGATGGGGATTCTTGAGGATGTAGTGTAGATTGATGACAGCAGTAAGAGTAAAATAACTATCATGGTGATTAGGGGAAGGAATGGATCGGGGATTTCTCAAGGGGATTTACTGTAATGAATACTTGGTTGAGATTGAAGATCTTATATATTTGGTAGCATTCATGACATTTTTCCTAGCAGTTTGAATGGAAGAAAACAAAAATCATACAAGAGGTCAAAGGATGCTAGAATATGAGGCACACATGTCATTCAGAATGCTGAATAGACATAAATGCCACCAAAATGAGGACAATGAGAAAACAATGGAGAGGCTAGAAGGGAAATATAGGAGAGTGACAGAGTGAGGTTAATGAGGTACAATCAAATCTCTCCTTCAACAACTAATGTATGCTAATAAGAAAATCCTTTAAAAAAAAAAAAGAATGAAGAAGCCAGAATTAGAAGTCATAGAACACATATAGTGAGAACACTGTTGAATAGAGGGTAGCAAGGTGGAATAAGGAGATTTTAGAAAAGCAGTAAAACATTAAGGTAGTATTAACAAGGTCCCACATAGTTTACTTGATCCATATTTTACTTTTTTACATAGTTCACTCCCCCTGCATAACTACCACCATTGACTTCTTCCTCGAGTTTGAATGCATTGTGGTTTCTCTCTCCTTGATTGTCCTTGAAGAAAAAAACAGATTGATTTTTTGTTTAAAGGTTTTACTGCTAATTCCATTCAGACGAGAAGTATGAAGCAACAATCTTGAGAAAAGGTTGAAATTATTGAACAAATTATTTATTTACAAGTTTTGTCTCTGTGGTCAATGACTTCCTAAAAGTGATGTGTAAAAGCCCTGTGGGTCCCTTGCCCCCCCCAGATCCAGTACAACTATTTCTTACAAAACAACCTAGGGGGAAAAAAAGGAACCCGGAACCAATGCATACTTTGCCATTTACGTTAAGACAGAACCCATGGGCAATCTGTCATCTGAACGAGAACTTGTGTCAGGCTTGAAGCCTGCAGATACGCCCTCAGTGACAGAACCAAGCATGGCACCAATAAAACAGACAAAAGTTCCATGCCCAGAATATAAACGACATAGTGTAGAAACGGGTTTATTGGCTCCTGGTTAAGGAGCAACAACACTACCTGGCTTTCAGGTAACGGCCTCAATCTCTCTGTACAAACGTCAACCAAGCCCAAGGTCCACTGGGTCCTTCCATTGGAGGGTCCATCTTGCAGCTTCCTCTCATGAAACTGGACGGCTAGCTGCCTGACGGTGAGACATTGGGCTGTTCTTCGGTAACGCCGGGCGCAGCCGAGGCAGCCTCGTAGTCGGCGATGCGGCGCTGTACCAGGGCAGGCATAAGCTGCACATAAGCGGCCATGAGCCGGTGGTTGGAATGGATCAGCTTCCCGGCACAGCTATGCAGACAGGCCTCCTGGAAGGAAGACAGAAGTGGAAGTAGAGACCAAAGGGGTCCCATCAAGCCCACCTAGGCCCAGCCCCAGTCTAGGGTGAGGTCCCGGGGTCAGACATTGGCGGGGAGGAGGCCGTTCTCTGAGGCTCCAAGGTAAGCTGCCTACAGTTCCCCACCTCCTCGGCGTCCAGGGACCGGTGGTGTAGGCTGGGCACACAGCGCTGGAAACAGAGCTCGGTCATCCGATTGTAGACCAACAGGAAGTCTCGCAACTGGGAGAGAAAGGGACCAGAAAGAGCTGGAAGGGGCCCGCACGCCACTCCAGGCCCCGCAGCTGGCGTTTCCCAGGACCGCACGCCACAGCCGTCCTTCCCTGCCCGCGAATTCCTGACTCTCTGCACGTCTACCTCTATCTCCTGAGATGCGGGTTTAGCCGCGAACGGAACGTCTAACCCAGAAGTTTTAACTCTCACTCACGTTTCTCAGTTGCTGTTGCTGCTGCTCCATAGCGCCAAGGACGCGCGGCGACGCCACTTCCGACACACCTAGGTCCCGCCCCGGAAGTAAACTCTCACCACTCTCCCGTGCCCTCCCCCTACCCCACCTTCCCCTCAAGGATTTGAAGGCTGGGCTTCAAGATCGCCCTGCCCACACATGCGAACGTCACTTCCGCCCTTATAATCTGCGACGTGGCCGGCTTCGTCTGCCCAGAGAGGGCGTCACTTCCGCCGAATCCCTGACCTGCTGCTAGGATCGCGACGGGAACTGGAACCTGAGGTCCCCGCGCGGTCCGGGCCTGGCGCCCTGAGGGGAAGAGCGGCCCGGCCCAGGTGAGAGGGACTTACTTAAGCGTAGGGAAGTGGAACGCAAGAACCTGCCCTGAGGGCAAGATGTCCTAAGCCCTAGGCAAGGATGAGGACACACCTGATGCCCAGGTGTGTGTGGGGGGGGGGGGAGGATGGGGGCAGGGAGACACACACCTGGGAGACATAACTGACTTTGGAAAGGGTCGTCTATATCCTGAGAAAGCGAGGCTTTTAGCCAGACCCCGGCAACATCACACCAATTGATTCAACTAAGGCCTGGTGGCGAGGGCTGGGGAAGAGGATGAGATGGAGGAGAGGGAGACCACCCGAGAAAGGAACACCGAGGCATGTGGAAGGTCAAGCTCTTGGAGAACATGCCTATAAAGCTCGTGAGCACCTGAGCCCCCCGGAAAGGGGTTCGACTCCTGGTGGGAATAAACACACCTGTGCAGGGGATAAGTTGGAAGAGGGAGCGGACTTTTGCTCTGTTGTTTACTGCTTTATTCCCAGTGCCTGGACGTGTACTTCCTGAATTTCTTTTGAATGACTAGATGTGTGAATGATTACTGAAGGTGAAGTTGGGGGTTGTGAGAAGACACCTGAGGCTGGAGGGGCTCATGTGTATAATTTTTACACACTTTGGAGGGAAGGAATGCACATATACCCAAGCAAAGAAGTAGGAGTGGTGAACCCTAGGGAAACTCAAATCCCAGGACAACCTCTGAAACCTCAGAAATGGCAGGGGAAGCCTCCCTGTTCTGGAGTGCTGGCCAGTTTCCAGCACTGTGTTGGGCTTTGCAGTGCTCTGGGGTGGAGACCTTGATTCCAATTCCTTCTCTAGCCATGACAGACGGGATCCTAGGGAAGGCAGCAACAATGGAGATCCCCATCCATGGGAATGGCGAGGCTGGGCAGCTTCCTGAAGATGACGGGCTGGAGCAGGTGCTTCTGTTTGATTCTTCTCGGTGTTTCTCAACTTAGCAATCCCAGCTTTCAAACCCTGGGCTCTCGCTTTCCATTCCATTGCCCTTTTCTTATCTAAGTCCTTTCATTCTTTCTACGAATCTTCATATTTTGACTCTGTGCAGGCTTCCCTGTGTAAACTTTGATGCTTCAATCTAAGCTTATTCCCACCCCCAAAATGTTTCAGCTGCCCCTATGTTCCTGAAGCGCCCCCTCTTCTCTGGCCTATAGGACCTTCAGCAGGTGATGGTATCAGGACCCAACCTCAATGAAACCAGCATTGTGTCTGGTGGCTATGGGGGCTCTGGTGATGGACTCATCCCCACAGGTATGAATGATCAGAGGCAGAAAGTTTGAAGGGGAGTGGGGCTGGAATGGTTTGGAGGTGCATAGGAAATGTCTAGAAAGTGTCTGTAATGTCTGAAGATCTTGGGAACTACTGTGCATTTGAACCCCTTGAGCTCTTCAGCCCCAGGCCAGCTACCAGTATTGTCCATTTGCTTCCCCCTGGTGTGTAGTCACTGAGATGGCTCATTTTCCTTTTCCTCTTACCACCGCTTGAGCCTATGTAAGACCTCTACTTTAAAGGAATTCCCCAGCTGTGGAACATGAGGCTGATTTGGAACTTTGTGAGGCTTCTTGGAGCTTTACTTTTCTCTGTAGAGGAACTAGAGAGAATTTCACACTAATATTCTACATGGAAATGTCAACGAAGTTTCCTGTTATCAAGACCCACCATTCTTTTTTTTTTGGGTCTGGTCGTGGGCCTGAACTCTGGGCCTGGGTGCTGTCCCTCAGCTATTCAGCTCAAGACTAGTGCTCTACCGCTTGAGCCACCGTGCCACTTCCAGCTTTTTTCTTTTTGCTTATGTGGTACTGAGGAATTGAACCCAGGGCCTCATGCATGCAAAGCAAGCACTCTACCACTGAGCCACCTTCCCAGCCCCAAGACCCACCATTCTTGACCCTTCCTTGCCTACAGTCAGTGTATTTTCTTCTGTTTTCTCTGGCTCTGTATACCAGCAACACCCCCACTCCACCCCAGGTGTGCCAGATACATTTTGGCTTGGGGTTTGGTTCTCAAGGCATAGGCTTCTAGTTCCCCCAATGCATAGGAAAATCTAGTCATCTGTATAGCTGCTTCTTCAGTGAATCCATTTTATGTATTGGGAGGGAAATATCAGTAGGGCCACAGAAGTGTCTGCTTATGTCTGAGAGAGGCTGGTGTCAGAGAACTTGGTCCTTTAGGGTCTGGCCGCCATCCATCTCACAGTACCACTCCTGCTGGCGCTGGAGATGAGGTGGCTCGGGGCATCGCTGGAGAGAAGTTTGACATTGTCAAGAAATGGGGCATCAACACATATAAGGTAAGGATTCAAGCACTTCTCTGTTTCCCAAATTCCCCATGGATACCTTTTCCTAGATCCTAGATTCCTATGTATGGCTCAGACTATGATACTGGAGGTGCTTGAGTAGCTAGCTACCTTTTGGGAGGGTGTGGTCTAGGGTCTCAGACTTTTCCTTCCCCCACTTCTCAATCAGTGCACAAAACAGCTGTTATCAGAGCGATTTGGCCGAGGCTCTCGAACTGTGGATCTGGAGCTAGAGCTGCAGATTGAGTTGCTGCGTGAGACGAAGCGCAAGTATGAAAGTGTCCTGCAGCTGGGCCGGGCACTGACAGCCCACCTCTACAGCCTGCTGCAGACCCAGCATGCACTAGGTGATGCCTTTGCTGACCTCAGCCAGAAGTCCCCAGAGCTTCAGGTGCCTCAGCCAGAACAAAGAGGGTGGGGGGACTGGGCCCCAGCCCTTCCTAGCAGTCACTCCTCAGCCTCCCTCCCTCCCTCCTGCAGCCCCCAGGGAGAACCCCTCCAGGGTGGGCCCAGCCCTGCCCCCAGCAGCACTCACCTGTGGAGGCAGCCTAAGGGTTTGTACAGAGGTCCAGAAGTTGGAGGGGGTGAGGGTGGGGGAGGTGGCACATTAGGTGCCTCACAAGTAACCCTTCTCTACGTCATCAAGAATGCCTTTGGTGCTCGGCCTAATCAGAGCTCCTTCCCTGCCTGCTGCACTAGCTTTCCCTGTTCCTGTCTTGTAAACTTAATCTGAGAATCCCTTTCCCCCCCCGGCATTCCTACCCCAGGCATCCCCAGGATGGCCCAACTAACTTTCTGGCAATGAGAGCCTTGCTAGAGACAGTCCTTGTTATTTTTAGTTTTGATGGCTGTTTTCCCTCTTTGGGAAGAGGGGAAATGAAGGACTGTGCAGCTCCAATTAGGTAGGGACTGTTACTCAAGGCCTGTCCCTCCCTCTGCCCTCAGGAAGAATTTGGTTACAACGCAGAGACACAGAAGTTGCTGTGCAAGAATGGGGAGACGCTGCTAGGGGCTGTGAACTTCTTTGTTTCTAGCATCAACACATTGGTCACCAAGACCATGGAAGACACGCTCATGACTGTCAAGCAGTATGAAGCTGCCAGGTGTGAGCACTGGCAGGGCCCAATGTGTGGGAAGTTGGCTGGCCCGGGTGGAAGTTTGGGCATTAGGGGTATAGCAATAATTCAAGAAAGAAAGGCAAATATGTGTCAGAACATAGGAGTTGAGACCAGCCTTTATTACCCCTTTCCCAGGCTGGAATATGATGCCTACCGAACAGACTTAGAGGAGCTGAGCCTAGGTCCCCGAGATGCAGGGACACGTGGTCGACTTGAGAGTGCCCAGGCTACATTCCAGGCCCATCGGGACAAGTATGAGAAGCTTCGAGGAGATGTGGCCATCAAGCTCAAGTTCCTGGAAGAAAACAAGGTGCCCACCCTGTACCCTCCTTGATCTTAGGCCACCCTTACAGTAACCTTCCCCTCAGTCTCTCCCCATTGTCGGGTGGGCAGTGCAGTTTGGCTAGAAAATGTTCCTTGTCAAACCCTGCGCCATTTCAGGTCACCCTCCTCCCAATCACTGATCATTGTTCTGTTGGGGGGAAGAATTGCCCTTGAGCTGGGGTATAAGAACCCTAGGCCCAGCAAATCAAGTCAGGTTTCCTTTTCTCATATTGACCTTTCTTCTTTGACTCCCTGGGTGGAGTTCAGTTCCCATCCCAAGAGCACCATTAGAGCAGAATCCATGTGTCCCTGGACTATGCTCATAGCCCCTCAAGAAGGGTGCCTGAGTCTATCCTGCTGGACCCCCAGATCAAGGTGATGCACAAGCAGCTGCTGCTCTTCCACAATGCCGTGTCCGCCTACTTTGCTGGGAACCAGAAGCAACTGGAGCAGACCTTGCAGCAGTTCAACATCAAGCTGCGGCCTCCAGGAGCTGAGAAGCCTTCCTGGCTAGAGGAGCAGTGAGCTGCTCCCAGCCCAACTTGGCTTTCAAGAAGGACATTGGGAGGGGCAGCCCCAGGGTGGAGGAGTTTGGACGACATGGGACATTCCTTGCCATTTACCTTCTGGCTTGGACTCCCTTTCTCTGCTGGGGCCTGACACCAATTTTGCCCATACTGCTGTGGTGTGAAGAGGGCCACACCTCTTCTGAAGAAGCTGCTGCCCTATCCTTTATCTTCTTGGCCACTGGGCATCATTCCCAGATTTTTTTCCTTCCACTCCACAGCCAAAGGCTATGACAAAACTACTCCCCGGCCAATGGCATCACTCCTCCGGCCAATGGCACCACTCCTCGGGCCAATCCCCAGTTCCTGGGGTATGCCCCCTGACCAATGACAGGGTCTCAGAAGACCTTGTCAGCCAATGGCAGCTCTTCTTGCGCTCCCCTGGGCCAATGATGTTGCCTCCAATACTCTTTGTCCCTCCTCTGTGCGTGTCCATTGCAGTGAAGGGGACTGGATCAAAGGAATGGGGATATTGGGGAGCCCCATTTCTGACCCTACATCTGATTGGGTCTCCCCTTGCCCACTCACCCAATTGTGCTTGGAGCCCAGGAAGACTGGGGTCTAGCACTAGGAATAAACCTTTCATAAAAGCAGGCCCAGTGAGGTCCATTTGTGGGGGACAGTAGGAGGGTGGACTGGGTAGAGAAATATTTAGTCTCACCAGGCACTCAAATCCTATGAAGTTGAAAGAGTATGGGGCCAGGCAGCTGAAATTACAGGTTTCAGGAGTAGTCTGAAGGACTGATCTCCCCAGTCCCACTTGGAGCTAAAGCATTAGTTGTCCTTCAGGTCTGTACCAAGATAGCTACAGATCTTAAAAGCATAGGGTCCAGAGGGGGTTGGGCTTGCTGACCTTCTTCATGTGTTCAGTCATACAGCAAATATTTACTGAGTGCTTTTATTTTGCCAGGCACTGCTTTAGACCCTGGGGAAACATCAGTGAATAAAATACGGTCCCTGCCCACAGTGCTTAAAACCTAGTGGTGGATAGATGAGTAACCAGGCAACTATAATGCAGTGATAGGTACTAGCAGAAGCACAGCATGCTGTAAGAACTTGGACAAGGGGCAGCTAGCCTAGAGGTGGTGATTTTGGCTTCAAAGCTGAGACCTAAACAAAATGAGTAGCTGACAGCCAGGCAGAAAGATCCACATCTAAGAAACACCAAGTAACAGTTCAGTTTGGAATGAAGAAGACATGGCAAAAGGGAGCCTGAAGGCTGGTTAAATATTTTTGCTCTTTGGAGAAAGCAAGCTGTGAAATGTTTAAGTCACGGGTTTGTTAGCACTGGAGAAGTCGAGGGTTGAGAAAATTAGAGCTTAAATAGTGTGGCACACACCTTTGTTCCTTCATTTTTGGTAATCTAGTGGCCCTAGCCTGGAGCCAACAACTATGAACCCTCCTGAGGCTCTTTCCTTGTGGTTGCTGGAATTCAGAGGTTGAGGTTAAGGGCAGTTCCCATGGCTTTGCTGCACTCAGATGTTCTAAGCCAAACCTAAGTGAGAAATCACAAACTCCCCAACAGCATTTTGGTTTAGTCAGGGGCCAGGTGTCATCACCTCTGTTGCTCCTTGTCCAAGGCTAGCTCCAAGATTTTTCAACATTTTTCCCACCTACTTCTGGAGGGCTAGGGAAAGGAGACAATCCAGTCAGTAAGAGTCTGATGGCACTGGGATCCACATGAGCATGGCTTTGCTCTTTATCATCCATACTGAACTTTCCAGGCAGGCTTCCTGAGTTTTGGTTAGCAGTTACTTGACTAGAACTTGACTGTGTATGGGGGGGGGGGGGGTCCTCATAAGCCCCCATTTTTATGGGCTACCAGAGATTTTTCAACAGAAAGGCAGTCGTTGAATCTCTAAAAACAGACAGAGCCTAAAAGCAGGGCTCACACCTGGTCCCAACACTTCCCAAGTGATCAACTTTAATGCCCAGGGAACTAGAACTCTTTATTTCTTCAGTCATAAAACAGAGCTAATAAAAGAAGCTACCTATTATGTTTATGAGTGTTAAGTAAGATAACGTATGTAAAATGATTATAGTTTTATGTCTGGCACAAAATAAACAGTCCCTGCTAACATAATTTTTATTATTTTCTACCGGGGCTGCTTTTCCATAATGCAATGGTTCTGAGACTTGCCCTGGATCTCTGATGTGAAAGGAACCGCTAGAAGGTCAGAATCCTATCCCCAGGAGGGGATCTCCTGACACCCCTAGAATCAAATGAAGTCCTCCGCCTACCCTGCAAGCCCCTTTGGGCAGGGTTCTGGGTATTGCGTAGAATCTGATCATCGATCAGGGCCGAGACGCAGACGGTCCCGTCTCCTTCCCGTTCAGCGGGAGGCAGACGGGCACACCGAGCAGCGAGGCAGGCGAGACCGGCTCTCCCGGTCCCCAAGGCTGCTGCTCCAGCAGCCTCTTCCCGAAGGCGCCTCACGCCAGTACCCAAGCCTGACCACACCGCCCTTCCTGGCGGCGGCCTCGAGCGCGGGAGGCAGCTGGCAGAGATCCGGGACTGGAGATCCGGGATCCGGCTGCTTGGTTCCCGGGTTCCCCAGCGGTACCGCAGAGCCAGCGCCCGAGGGAGCCGCAGGGGCGCCGGGAGGGGCGGAGCGGGTGGGGCGGGAAAGGGCGGGGCCGGGGCGGGGCCTCCGGCGCGGAGGGCGGGGGGAGTGGGTGGGGCTTCGGCGCCGGAGTTGCCCCCTCCCGCGGCTGGTCCGCAGCCCCGCCCCGGCCCCTCCCTCCGGCCTGTGCGGCTGGTCCGGCGGCGGCGCCCGCGTGGGGACGGGCGGAGGCACTGGACGTGGGGCGGCGCCGCGGGCAGGACCGGGGCGAACGAGCGCTGGCAGGCAGGGCAGCGCCGCGGGCCCCTCCGAGTGGCCGCAGTCCGGGCCTTGCCCTTCTAATCCTGCTCCCAGCGCCGTGAGTGCGACGGGCGGGGGCCCCAAGGGCGCGTTGGGTTGTCCCCGTGAGCCCGGGTCCGGGTCCGGGTCGGAGCGGCCGTGGGTGGGGGCGAGGATGCTTTTCAAAAGCTGTTCCCGTCTCCGTCCACGTGAGGCGTGTCCGTGTCCGTGGTAGCGGCGGGGGGGGGGTCCTTGGGGCTGTGGCCGCTCACGTGAGGTCCGTGTTTGCGGGTTGGGGGTGGCGCGGGTGGGTGGGGGACGGCTCCCTTCAGGAGCGCGGGGTTTGGGGCTTGCATGTGTTGGCGGCGGAGGGTGCCGAAGGCTGCGGCCCAGGGCGGGGTGAAGGGTGGATGGGGTTGCTGAGTGAGACTCTGGAATCTTGTGGCCCAGCTTGTCTGAAGGCTTCCTTTCTCCCTCGTGCAGACACCTCCACCCCTTGCTCCCTTCTCCATCCTCCCGGGGCACCCAGAGGCCCACCAGCTAGGATGAAAGGACCCCTCTAGTTCTCCTGCAAACCTGGGCCCCTCCCTGGTTCTGGTCTCCTCCCGCCGGGACTTGGCTTCAGATCCTGGGCTGCAAACCTGCAGGGACAGATGGTTGCAGATTGGAGGGCAGGCTGCACCCTGGGGAGGTCAGTCCGGCTAAAGGCAGGCTCAGGACCTGTTCCTGTTGTGTGGGGGGTCTGAGGAGGACCACAAAAAACTCAGACTGGCCCCCAGCAAGAAGATAGATCTAGAATGTTAGAATGGGTGTAGAGGTTGTCTTCACAGATCTCTCCCTGATAGCCTGTCCAGCTCACCAGTGTCCATTCATTTCCTAAGCCTGAGGGCTCTGGTTTGCTGCAGAATTGGAATTAGAGCTGCAGGCCTGACAGATGCCCTCCCTCTCTTGGCTTGCATGCCTCCAGTGACAGAGCACTTACTACCTTCTGCTGGGGGGTGGGGGTGGGTGGGAAGCTTTCTTATGTTAAGAGGAGATCGCCTTCCTTTATTCGTTTGTCTGGTTTTTTTGCCTTTGATTGAGCTTTTCTCTGGTGAGAGGGAACTGGAAGATTAAAAAATGGTTCTCCTGTCATCAACATATATTGAGTACTTTCTGTGTTCCTTGTACCACCTCAACCCCTGAGGGGATGATGGCATTCTTGCTGAGGGAACTTGAGCCAATGGACCATAGTAGGGATAGTATAGCTGATGTTCAGAAAGACTTAATGGCTGGTGTAGAGGGTGCTGAGAGGGAGTGTCAGGGGCGACAAACTTAGCAAACATTTATTTTGGAAGTGGGTAAGGGCAGCAGCTGTGACCACCCTCTTAACACCTAGCCTTATGTAGAAATTAGCAATCAAATCATGTTTGTAGTATAAGATGTGGTTTAACCACAGGCTCATATTGCAATCTGTACTAGCCTAGGGTTTGAAAGAAACCCATAGAATCTTAGATTTTGAGAATGAGAAAACTCTCGCCCTTCCAATTTGCAAGTAGGGGTATGTAGGATAGGAAGCTACCCACCCTCTCATCTTATGTTACTGGTATTAATGACAAATCTGGAAACATTTTAGAGGTAGCATCAAGGATATGGTTAAAGCTTGTATCTGAAAGGAGAAAGAGAAGTCAGAATTGAGATGACCAGGCTTAGGCTTGTGAATGGTGGTGCCTTTTATGGAGATGAGAAATACAGCAGGAAGAACAGGTCAGCTGGTAATGAATTCAGTTTTGGACTAATCCTTTGCATCATCCAGGTAAAGATGGCCTAGATACACAGGATATAGAGGTCTGGAGTTCAAGGGAGTCTTTAAGCACAGAAGATGAGGCTTTGGGAGTTATTAGCAATTGGATAGTCACTGAAACCATGGGAAATAATGAGATTGCCCAGGCAGAGTATAAAAAGCGAGAGGAGACAAGTTCCTAAATCAAAAACCCCGTGGAATTAGACATTTAAGGATTGGCAGTGGAGAAACAACTGAAGAAGAAGCAATCAGAGAACCCATATTGAGTGGACTGTGGAAGAGGAGTGAAACCTCTGCCCAATGAATCTTGCTGTCTTGTCCCACTATGTACGTTTGTGCATTTCCTTTATTCTCTGTTTTCCCCCATGTACCCATCAGTCTCCTGTTCTTCCCTCAACACCCATTTCAAATATCTATTCTTCTGAAAACCGTGTATTCCCCACCAAGTTAGAGACTTCCTGACATAGCAGTTTGAACATGGCAATATCATAGTACTTATCACATTGTAATGATGTTTGTATATGTTGGTTTCCCATACTAGTCTAAAAACTTAGGAAAGACAGGGAGCATGTCTGGTTCAGCTTTGTGACTCTAATTCCCAGATGTAGGACTTAGACCAGAATGTGGACCGAATGGTTCATTCACCTATGTATCCAGGCATCATGGGGGAGATTGGAGCCATGAAATTCATCATTTTCCTTCCCTGCCAGTTTTATTGAATAGGTTCCTTAGATTTGAGGACTTTATCTTTCCCATGCTTCTTTATTTCGGAGAAATTCCAAATACTCTAGCTTGCAGATGTTTATTATTTTGCTGAGGCCTCAAATGATTAGATACACCTGGAGGCTACTGAGTAGCAGTGAGTCATTTCAGCAAGAGAGTCTAGCTGACCTCTCCAAAGTACTTTTCAATGCTATCTAGTTACCTCTACTCACTGGTGTGTAAATCATGAACACTGGGAATCTTA